CACAATGCGAACAAAAAAGCTAATTAATAGATGAGATACAAAACAAAAGAAATAGAATGGAAATTGTATATGTGTATTTTGCGTATGTACAAGAATAATAAAAAAAAAAAAAAAAATAAGAGAGAAATTACTTGTATCTTATTTTATAATACTCAAAATTTTGGACATCGTTCAATTTCCGATTTCAATAATATTTTCTGGCGAATGAAATTTTAAATTCAAAGTAGAGGGAATATTTTAAATAATAATCCAACTTGATTAAAAATTTTTTTATATAAAATAATTAACGAGAAAAGAATAGAAAATGATGATGATGATGATGATGATGATGATGATGATGATGATGATGATGATGATGATGATGATGATGATGGAATAAATTATATAATATACAATAAATGTTCATTTTATTATATAATAAAATGGACAATCTTATTCAAATTTATATTTAATGAAAAATAAAATAATAATAAAATTTCGTAACAAAATTTTTGAACACGTATTATTTAGTAATGAAAAACAATGTATATGAACTCCATCTATAATGTAAAAATAATAATAAGTGAAAATTCTTTCTTTCATTGTGTATGTGTATGTTATTCATCGTGATATTTCGCAAAAGCATGAAAGAACTCGCGACACGAGCAAGAACATTTTAGGATAGTTAAGACAAAACCACACGATTATGATCGGCCTCAAGCGGATTAAAGACGGTTATAGGGCGAAGCGGTTAGAGTGAAAAGAAAACAGATATGAACGTTAAATAAGAAGCCAAACTGACAGTGTATAAATAGGAATTAAATTTCATATCCTCAAGACGACGAGACACCGATCGTTCGTCCAGCGAAAAAAATATATAATAAAAATGTGATTACTAGGGATATGACAAGATGTCGCTAGTGTCGTCAACAATCAACTATCCCTCACAAGCATATTTGGATATTACAACATTAACTGCCATTTTTCTCCATATACATATTTATTTTTTTATCATTTCTATTATTATTTTTTAAATAAAAAAAATAATATCCGAGAGAATATTCTAACAGATTTTCAAACATAATGAACAATACTTATTTAATCTTCGTGGCGATAGAAATATAAATGTGCCACGTCTGCAATAAAGATTAAGGATACGTTCTCATTTTTCAAATCAATTCTCTATATTACATCTCTTTGAAAAACTTCTCTTACTTTGAAAATCATAATTGACAAACGTAACATAACAAAATACTATGACAAGAAAATAAAAAAAAAAAAAAAAAAAAATACATTGTTAATAATAAAATCTTTCTCTCTTTACATATTGTGTCGAGTAAGCGTGTCTCGTCGTCTCACCCCAAAGCTCGTGGCTCCTTTTTGTCATTTATTTATTTTTTTTTTAATTATTTCGTCTATTCTCATAAGAAGAAAATAGGCCGCTTAAAAAGAGAGAACAAAAAATTGTTCAAGGGGTTGTTCCGTGATCGGGACTTACCGCTCCGGGATAGGAGACAGGGGTGGAAGCATGAAGGGCAAGGGGCCCCACGAGGGCGGGGGGCATCTTGTTGTGTATCGCACTCCCAGCTGATACTATCTGGGCGCTCGACATGCTCGACATTGTCTGGAGCGCCTTCTCCTTGGCGGCATGATCCTAACAAATCGTCAAACCGATTACAACGCATTGTCGAGTGGCGGCGAAACGTCAATGATAATAATTGTTCTTGTTCTTTTTTATTTATTCATTTATATCATGTGATAAATTGTATTCTATTAGTGTCATTTGGACATATCATTTTAGTGATGATTTGTGATTGCGTGATTATATTTAATGAAGATGATATGTGATGATATTCTTTTTTTTTTTTTTTTTTTTAGAAAAGACAGTCACAAGAAAAGTGTGCGATTGACTTAAGCAAACGGTAGAGTAAGAGAATTTTTTTGGGAGAGAAACATGATTAGAAGAAAATCTTTTCGATTTACAATAATTTAATCATTTTAAATTTTAAGATATGGATGCAAATTTGTATTAATTTTTAACTGATAATTTCAATAGAAATTTCTATTATACTTTACTATATCTAAAAATATCATTAAATGCAGAACAGAATATTGTTTTTTTGTACAGAATATTTCACACAATTAAATTTATTTAAAAATAAATTCATAAAAAAAAATCAAATATCATCAAAAAAAATTGAATCATCTACAAAATAAAAATTTTAATTCACTAAATGACAAAAGTGAGATGCTTAAGTAGTACATTCTGTATAAATCCATTCATAAATCATCTAACAAAAAAAAAAAAACTAAAAAAAAAAGAAGAAACAAACATAAACCACAAAATGCTTCAATATCAAATAATAACATCAAACAAACTACACACCATATTAAGGAAAAAATTCATAGATAAAAAAAAAAATCATTCCATATTTTTCCGTATATTGCCAGATCGAGCCGTGTATCGTCATAAAATTAAATCGATAAACGATTTCTCTCCCGATGGCTTGCATAATTTCGTTCTCTCCGCCGAATTTCCCATCCCCTCGCGTTCTGTCGCTGTTTTATGCCCGGTTCGGTTGATGTCATCGATCGCTATCGAGCAAAACGGCAATGCAGAGTTGATTGCAGAACAAGGCTGGGCTTGGGTCGCGAAATTCGCGGGAATTTTGCGCTTTTATCGGAAAGCCGTCGTTTTAATCAGCGCCACCTCTTCTCCCCTCCCCCTCAGCAAACGGCTGTCGAAAATCGCTGACGAAGCGAGAGAGAAAGAGAGATTCGTTCACGTGATATATCCAGGAAAATTGGCGTGTACCGAACCTCTCCCCACTCCCTCCAGCACAACTCGAGCGCCCTCTGCGCCACGCCACGGCTACAGGCCTTTTCAATTTCGTTCATAAATCCGTAATGGAAGAGCCATTACAAGCTCTGCCCATTCGGAATGAAGCGTGCCGCGTAACAATGCTCAGCGATAAAGGCTTTCTCTCTCTCCGGTGACCGTGCCGAGCTGAAAAATTGTGAACTTTTGCCTGTTGGTCGGCTTTGTGTACTCTCTCTTCTTCCACGTCTTTCTGTCTTTCTTTCTCTATCTCTCACTGTATTTTGTGAGGTTATGTGTTCTTTTTCGTTCTATTTTTTTTTTATTTTTGCTTTTTGCATGTACACCATTTTTGTAAAATTGGGTTTGAATTGTTCGAAATTGAATCGTCGATTCTTTTTATTATATACATATATATATTTAGTTTATAGTTTTCTAATGAATTTTTAGTTGTTATTGTAGTTACTTGCAATGACTTTAAATATTTAGGCAGATATCTGAATGGAATTTCTTTTTTAGATTAGAAGTAAAAAAATTAGTTTTTCTTTTCCAGATAATATTAATAAAAATTTTTAATTGAAATACTAAATTTGAAAACGATGTCGTGTTAAACTTTTGAATAAATCATTCGAATGCATAAGTGACATTTAATGCCATTTCACGGCACTCCTCTTCTATGCGAGCGTTCATGTTCCTAAGTACTTTTCACTACCGGTTTACAACCTGAAATAGCCTCTTCAAAATAACTATCCATTTGATTCTCAAAAATTTATAAATCATCATTCCGATATTTTAATAAATTTTACTTTGTGTTATATTGTCTGGAAATAATAATCTCTATAATACATAAAAAAAAAAAAAAAATTACGAACCATGAACATAAAAATAATTTTTCGTAAAAAATACGAAATCGCGTGTCGCGTACACATTCCTATCGATACGTCCTGAATGGTAAATTCAGTATAAATAGGAAAGTATATTGGAGAATGCATATAGTGCACGAAATAAAAATTGACCGGTGCATATGAATGCTTCTATTTTTCACGTGGTATGATTTATTAGAAAGGAATGTGGACGAGGGAATTTTTCAAATTTAATAAAAAAAAAGAGAGAGAGAGAGAGAGAGAGAGAGGAGG